ATTAATTAATAGCCTCGGCCACATCATAGAGGCCAACATAACCCCCTAAAGCTGACTAGCTTATATAAAGATGATTTTTTCGAGCCATGCATGGTGTCACGAGAAAAGGGTAACCTGCTCATGTTAGAGGAAATAAATGTGCTATCTCAAAAGGATCTGTCACACCATCTTCGACTGATAAGCATTTTGATGACCAAAAACCAGCCTTGCTTCTTTCAGTAAAGACGTTTCTCACAAACAAGATCGCCGCTTTATGCGACAAACTTCTTTTGGCACATGAGATTGAAAGGAACATGCACTGCCCATTGGTGCATAATCACATTCATTAGCGAGTATATACCGGTGTTAGCTGCAATGCATTGACACATCAACACACATTATCTTTTTAAGAGGGTAATTGGGCTAGCGGAGCGAGCCCACCTACCTAGTCGTGTCTTCGGCTCGAATTTTCTATATGTTATGTACTACGTGCGAGGGACATACAGGATTTCAATGAACCGAGGGCCTCTGCGTTTGTCCCGAGCGCAGCGAGGACCTACGCGGATGGCCTGAGGGTTCATTTAAATCCGGTATGTACGGAGTACATAACATGTTTAGTGCAGAGCAAATCAGCTCTGTATACGCGTTCCAAGCAGAGGGAATTTGAAAGATGCGAGAAAGAGGCGAGAGCGCAAGACCGTCATCTCATGCGGAACTATTGAATGCCGAACGCTAGGACACGCTGCTCCGTCGCTCTAGCTACTCCCGCTGCGGGACTGTCCTCCGCCACTCATCGAAGAAAACGCGACTGGAGACCTGCGCGAACCATCACAATCAGAGAGAGGCGAGAGTGGAGAATTCGGGCGCTGTCCGGACCGAAGGCGCGTTCACCGTAGACTTAGTTATGGTGGCCGAGAGGGGAATTCCCGCACTGCTGGCCGACACCGGCGGCCCGCACTATATAGCAGCGACATCGGCCCGACGTCGGAGCGACGTCGGAGCGCACTGCGCCGGTGTCTAGGGACTCAATTATCTGTGGGTGGAGTTCCACTATGGCGAGTAGGGGCCATGTAGTCGTTCCATCCAGGGAACTAGACAGTTAGTTTTTCAATGTTGTACTTTTTGTATGCCTCATACACCCGGGACTGTTAGCAAAGTTAGGTCTCAACGGAGCCATCGCGTTTGGAAATAAGCAAGGTAAGTCCTCTCCCTTTGGTAAGATGATTGGTGATTTTCCCGAACGCGATGGCTCCGTTTGAGACCTAACCTTGCTAACAGTCCCGGGCGTAGGCGTAGGCTCTCGCTGACAAGGAAGAGGGCTACGTGCACTACTTCCGCAGCTACAGAGAGGTTTGAATTTTTAGATGATGCAAAGAGCGAGGCTCTCAGCGACAAGAAGTTTGTGCCTACGCCTTTTCGATGCCAACGGCCCGTCCCCAGGAGCGCTACTCTCGGACGCGGAGCCTTGCAGCGACGTCTCAGAATCCCAGCCCTCGACTTCCAAACGAAAAGCCTCTGCCATTCGCTCCCTCAATCCTCCCTCGATCTGTCAGCGTTGACATAAGAATATTGATACCCAACCCTAACCACAGTGGATATTCACACCATTCCGTAGTTATTTACCCTAACCACAGTGGATATTCTCACCTTCTCACCCTCTTGGGTGGGTAGCTGATTTATTTTGCTAAAATAAACATAGCAACGACCTAGCAACGGGTAATAAACTCAGATATTCAACCCCTATAGTGACACCCTTATGGACAACATACTTACCACAAGCATATGAAATTATAAGTGAGGTTGCATATATAAAAGCACACACGTGGTTATTACAATTCTGTGGAGCATGTAATAAGCAATTCCAACTGTCGTTTCCTATAGCTAATACATCTAGTATAATTATAGTACCTGTCGCTATTGTGTGAAAACTAGGAAACACTACAACTACGTACGTATAAGTTGCAATCAAGTTGTGTTTTGTTAATAATTCTAATCTGGTATGGTTGCATATCGTTCACCATCATCATTAAGAGGTGAAACATTTTCATACTTCTCGCTCCGCTTATCTGTGGGATTAGGAACAACACGACTGGGTATAGCATACTCTATACTTTCTTCCTTTATTGTGAGGTGTGGTATGAGGTTGGAAACGCTTTTGTATCCACTCTTTCCCTCTGATTGTTTTGTAGTGGGCATTGCACAAGATATACTTGCATACTCTCTCTCCCCTTCCATTTTCCCAAGGCCAGGGGTTGGGTTGGTTACATTTTCATAGCATCTCTCACTCCTCCTTTTAATTGCTGTGGGCACTGAGCGAGTAAGATTCTCATACTCTCCCTCGTGTTTCTTCACTTTACCTGCTGAAGGGCCAGGACGTGCATAAACCTGTTCAGGTTGCTTGTCAATCTTGCTCGGGACTGAGGATTCGACAGTTTCATACTGAACCGTATGTTTGACCATCCTGGAGGGCATTGTATTGGAATACTCCATCTCGTGTTCTCCTGCACTGCTTGGCTTGTTGTGTGTGGTCTGAACGAGCTCAAGGGACTTTGAGGAGGCATAATATGGAATACTGTCTGATTCTGGCTCAATTTGCTGATAGATATCAAACAGTTTCGTAGTTGATATCAGTCTCTCCTCTTACAACTTATTGTAGGCAGCATTTTCAGAAAACGTGTAACTCAACACTTTCCCTGCAGGAAAAACAGTGATTATAAAAGCTTATTTTCATGAAGTAAGTTACCTCTTTTGTTTGAGTGAGATATGTCCACGGTATCTTCTTCTGTAGGCAACTATGAGGATAATGATGATAGCACCAACAAAAATGAGTATTGCTGCCACTGCTCCTGCTATTAGATAACCAGAGTTTGTAGTTGGAGCAGTGGTTGGGGTCTTTTTTACAGAGCAGTCTGGATCTACTTCACCGTCGTTCAAATAGTTCACTGATGGACGTAGAGTCCAGTCACATGGCAGAGTGCTAGATATGGCCACGATGGACACATCAGGATTTTTAGCATCGGGGTTCAGAGCTAGTGGTGTCTCAAGTGACAGTGAGATAAGTCTCTCTGTGAAACACAGATCACAAGCAACTGACATAGTTGAGAGAGTGAGCTAAGTTTATTAATAACCTGTCTTTCCCGTGACTTGCTCACTGAACACCCCAGTACCAGCACTGTTAATCCCCGCCACTTGAAAAGAGTAATTGGAAGATGGTAAAAGATCTGAGATGGTAGCATCAGTCTTTGAACCATCATAGGTTATAGTCTCGGTAGTTTCATTCCCTTGTGCCCAGTACTTGACAACGTAGCCAGTTATCTCTCCATTCTGATGAATGCAAGGCACTCCCTCCCACTGAAGGGTCATGGAGAAAATGGAGGTTGACTTCACTCCAAAGCCAACAGGAGAGGCAGAAGGAGCTGGGGGTTGTTAACAAAAAAAAGTATAATCCTCAAAACTCTTTTACTGACCAGTTTCCTCAAGAAGAACAACAATTTTGTCACTTGATGAAGTACCAGCATAATTGCTGGCCACGAGAGACACATTGTAACTGGTGCCAGGTATCAGATGTGATATGGTGTAACTCGTAGAAACATCAGTAATGGTGGTGTTGCCACCAAGAGTGTTGGCAGGGCACTGGTTTGAGGACCATTCTACAAATGTTCTAGTAACCACAGACCCGCTAGGAAAACTCCAAGAGAGTAAAATGAAAGTAGTGCCAGTTTCTGTGCCAATTGTTGGCTGGCCAGGAACTAGAAAGAGAGTATAGTTACTTTACTATGTTTTGCATAAAACCATGGATATACCTAAGCCAACATCGTGTGGTGCTCTGACACTCTCACTAGAAACGTGTTCAGATGTTGCTAGTACAGATACAGTGTAGATGACTCCATTTTGTAGGCTAGTCAGTGTGTAGCTGTTGGTAAAGCCACCACTAACAGTCTTGCTGCCCTGGTTTCCTTCACTACTATTGTAGTGTATCCTGTAGCCAGTTGCAACACTGGACTGAATCCAAGACACCAGAATGCTAGTTGTAGTCTGTTGCACCACCACGACGTCGCTCGGAGGTAAGGCAACTATAAGAATTTCAGAGTGACAAAGTGATATGCAAATACATAAGAATACCTTCAACTGTGTAATTCTTTGAAAAGCTTGATGGGGGTTTATTGTTGGACACGGTACATGTGTAAAGTCCTCCCAGGGTCCCAGTCACAGTCAGAGTGTGGGTGTACTGTGCAGTCACTGAGTCATTCAACACAGTCTGGGTCCCTTGGATGACAGTGGTGGAGTCTCTGGTCCAAGTGACAGTGGTAGCAGGTCCACCAGTGGAGATACAGGTTAAGATGAAACTGTCCATAGGGATGAGAGTGAATGTTATATCCAGCAAACCGATGTCACCTATAACAGTGGCATAATTCGTTATAATTCACAGGCAGCGTATGAATTAAGCGAAAGAAAACAACTTTAAACAGTCAAAACAAGCTGACACAACAATTTGTGAATTTATGCTCTCTCTATAAGTGACTTGTTCCAACTAAACAACAAAGCTTAGGGACAAGCAAAGTCAAACTCTACAACTCTTAAGTGCCTGAAATAGAACAAACACTTTCACCTGTTTCACTGCCATACAGTCCCACGTATATCGTATTGATGACTGATGTATCATCCTCAATTGAACACTTATAAATCCCCTCTGCTGGAGTCCCAGTGGCCCTCATCAACCTCACAACCATGGCACCATTGTTTCCTGTGAATCCTGGAACATCAGTACCATCCAACAGTGTACCATCTGGTGCAAACCAGTCTCCTCCAGAATTAGTAGTGCCAGGAGGTGGAGGACGATTGGTGTGACAGAGTAAAGCAGTTTCGTCAGTTGACCCAATATCATTGAGATCAACATAGCCATCATTTTGAATAACATTGCCATTTAGAGTGAGGTAGACACCTATATACAGCAAAACAGACTAGTTATCTTCAGGACAAGGCATAAAAGAACATACTGTCAGGGGTTTCAATAGTCTGTAGTTGACTATAGACTCCAGTACCAGCACTGGTCACTGCTGCCACTTGCACAGTGTAGAGTGTTTCTCTAGTCAGTCCAGTGATTGTAGTCATTCCTCCACTGGAGTCCCCTGACACCATCTGGACCTCACTGCTCCCCTCCTCTCCATACCTCACCCAGTAGCCTATTATCTCTCCATTCTGATGTCTGCACTCCACAGGTCCCCACTGGACTGTGATACTTGTGGAACTCTCCACCCTCACTACCACAGATGAGGGAGGGGCAGTGGGAGCTGTGCGCGAACATAACCAAAACAACAGTGAAACATACATTATTATAACTACCACAAACCAATAGGCATAGTAGTGGCCAAGAGACCGTCTGCTCCAGTTTCTCCACTACTCAGTGCTGTAGTAATAGTGATAGAATACTGAGTTCCCTCTTCTAATCCACTCAGAAAGGCGTTCGTTTCGATAGTAACAATACTGTCATACAAAGTTGTAAAACAGTTAGAGTTTGTATTGGTGTAAGTGATGGAATAGGAAGTAGCCGTCAAATTCTCTGCTAGTAACCACCGGATGGATAGATATGTAGAGGATGAAGACTCAAGGAACACTGACACTAAGTTTTCTGTGGAAAACAATAGTTAAAGGACTCGGTTGTACAGCAATTAGTGTACGTACTTGTTTCAGCAGAAATTGGGTCGCTGAAGATTCCAGTACCACCACTGTTGATTGCTGCCAGTTGAAAATAGTAACTTGTTGATGGCACGAGGTTTGAAATGGTCACACCAGTTCTTTCATCAACAGTGCTAGTAATGTATGAATCTTCGTTTCCCTGTGTCCAGTATTTTACTGTGTAGCCAGTAATTCCTCCATTCTGATACATACAAGGCACTGGCTCCCAATGCAGTGCGATGGAGAAAAAAGAAGTTGAACTAACTCCTACACTTGCTGGAGCCGCAGAGGGAGCTAAAAAGAGATGCATCAATGTTGTAGATACAAGTTTCTAAATATCATGTTTTCTTTCTTACCCGATTCATCAAGTTTGAAGCTGACTATCTCAGAGACTGAACTCCCAGCCAAGTTTCTAGCAGTGACGGAGACATTGTACCAAGTGCCTGGTGTCAGGTCTGATAAAACGTGACTTGTAGTGTCGCCAGATACAGTAAAAGTTGCTTCCACTATTCCACCTGGACACCAGGTGCCTGAGGACCATTCCACGTCATAGCTGATCACCACTGAACCAATAGGAACTCTCCAGGACAGTGAGACCGAGTTAGCCATTGTGGAGCTCTGTTCAATGGAGGGCTGCCCAGGAACTGCAGGTATAATTATATTATATAATAGTCATGTCTGCTACACAAAAGAACAGGTTTGATGTATAATTATATTATATATATTATACATATAATTATAAAGCTGCAACAATAATGTATAATAATAGAGCTGCATGCAGAAGTTCTTCTGGTATTTTTTCATACCTAAGCCAATATCATAAGGTACAGTGACACTCTTGCTGGAGATTAGGGATGATTCAGATGAAATAGATATTGTGTAGGTATCCCCATTGTGAAGACCCGTCAGAGTGTGGTTGTTGGTAGGGTCACCACTAAGAGACACGTTGCCACCGTCCCCTCCAGTACTGCGATAGTTGATCCTATAGCCAGTGGCATTGTTGGGTACACTCCAAGAGACTAGGATACTAGTTGGTGTTTCCTGGAGAGCTGATACTTCAGTGGGAGCTGCAGGTACTGATGAGTATAACCAGTGATGGAGATATCCGAGGGAACGTAGGTATATATAGCAATACAAGTTTACGTGTGCAAAAAGGGTTATAGGCTTACCATGAACTGTGTAACTTTTTGAAAAACTTGATGGTTTATTGTTGGACACGGTACATGTGTAAAGTCCTCCCAGGGTCCCAGTCACAGTCAGAGTGTGGGTGTACTGTGCAGTCACTGGGTCATTCAACACAGTCTGGGTTCCTTGGGTAACAGTGGTGGAATCTCTGGTCCAAGTGACAGTGGTAGCAGGTCCACCAGTGGAGATACAGGTGAGGGTCAATGAGTCGGTTGAATGGAGATCGAACGTTATACCTCCAGCTATAACTACACTTCCTGCACATAAAACAATACCATGGATAAATGGCTAATATTATGCAGCTACGTAATTTTGTCTGCTAGTGTTCACACTTCACTTCGTTTGTCCTTATGTCACCCTGGTGGTTGTATATCTAAAAGCATCGTTTGGTGTTCATCACCGCGTAATTTAATATAGCGGGCGCGCTTATGCACTAAGTGGCGGATCCAGGTTTTAAGAAAGGGGGTTTCAGCCACACCTCGAAGCGTGGGATTGGTGTTACCATTTGTGCTCACAGAAGCAAAGATGATATGTTACGAGTAGACGTTAATCGGTTTCTAGCGAGCAACAGCATAGTCCACTCGCTAGCGTATATTTGCCGAGCGCCTTAGCGCGAGGCATCTAATTCTGAAGCAGGCGCTCGGTCAGTTACGGGTCAGCGTATGTAAATATTAGTCCGTCACGCTCTTATACGCATGCGCGGGTGGGGCCGGGGGGCGTGCGCGTTGGTGGGATATCGCGGATCACGGCGGAGCGGGCGACGTATTCAGAGCCATGGATGAGGAGAACGACGTATTCAGAGCCATGGATGAGGAGGAGAAGGATCAATGTGAGCTCGTCACCACGGCAGACTACCAAACGCCTGGGCCTTCGCTGGCGACAGTGAGAAAAAGGCGACAAAGAGCGCGAGTCGCTGCTTTTGAGGAGACTGCAGAAGCTGCATGAAGCCAATTATTTGGTGTTGGCAATACTTTACCATCATTACACGATAATATTATTTTGCTGCGCGAGGCATACTCTGCGCACTCTGCGTATACTAGTATACACATGCGCGCCCTGGGATAGAAAGCCACACCCAAAATGCGTATACGCAATTAACGCGGCGCCCCGCTCGCGCGCTCAGTGGCCCGAATCGCACGACAAAATAAAGGGGGTTTCCACTGCAACCAAAGAAACCCTGGATCCACCACTGCTCGGGGCACCCAGTTCCCCGTCAACGCGGTGCCGGAAGTGTGATCGCCCACGCACAATTATTCTTCGCATGCTCACGCGTTGAGTCTGGATCCCGAGGCTAGCTCGCCGAGCCAAAAGCATCGCCTACTGCACAAATTGCTATGTGCGAATTGCCATCTGCTGGGATATCCTTGTTTTCGCGGACCACGCGAGTGCGCATATAACCCGACTGGCTAATGCGTTCTGGCTAGCGTGCGAGTGCGGACGATAGACGTATAGAAGAAAGTAGTCAAGCTGTTTGCTTAGAACAATTTTTCCATCCATATCCCTTTCCATAACCTAGAAGAACTAGCACTATTGTCGAGCGAACGCGAACTATTATACCAAAATTACTTTCGCAAGGTGGACGCCTAGCTTTCGCACGGTTCACACATTAATACTATTATATACTATTACGAAGCTCGCTTCATTTTGAAAATACATTAGCTCGGGCTATCCTAATAATTACCTTCATTTGCAGGGTACAATCCCACATAAACAAGCTCCGCCAGAGAATTAGTATCATCATCGTGGACACTGACAGTTGGAATGTCACAGCGATAAATTCCCGAAGGCCCATTTGAGGTGGTGTTGCGACGTAGTTGCACCAGCTGGGCACTACGAGATTCGTAAACAACACCGGAGAACGGCAGCCTGGTTCCATTGGGGAAGAACCAGTCTCCACGATAGGGTCCTTGGGTACTACTGCAACAAGTAGCTAGATTAGTGTGACACATCAGACTGTTTGCGTCCGTACTCCAAACCTGACCCAGGTCAACATAGGAGTTATTCGCCAAAGTCTGTCCCATGAAGGAGACGTAGGGAAAGGTTTGACAGTATACTGTGACCTCTACCAGAGGCAACACCATCAGTAGAATAACACTTATCATGACTAGCTACTCGAGCTCTAGATGTCAAAGTGACTTAGGAGTATAATGTGTTTCGATACTTTAGCTGTTGTTGTCTTGTTTCCTCAACAAAGAATTAAAAAACTTTCATAATGGACAATGGTAAAATTTGGGACAACGTAGTACTCCTTTCAAAAACAGGAATTACATATAGAGAAAAGCACAGCTTTGGACACCATTCCTACAAAGTAATCCTACAAACACAAGTATATAATTATAGAAAGAGTTACTATTTTTATCAATGATAGTCCTACTCTTCAGTGTGAATGAGAGTTTGATAAAAAGCCATTTCCCCAAAGAAAAAAACTTTCATGATGGATAAAACTGTTGCGAGGAAGAATAATGGGTCAACATAGGAGTTATTCGCCAAAGTCTGTCCCATGAAGGAGACGTAGGGAAAGGTTTGACAGTATACTGTGACCTCTACCAGAGGCAACACCATCAGTAGAATAACACTTATCATGACTAGCTACTCGAGCTCTAGATGTCAAAGTGACTTAGGAGTATAATGTGTTTCGATACTTTAGCTGTTGTTGTCTTGTTTCCTCAACAAAGAATTAAAAAACTTTCATAATGGACAATGGTAAAATTTGGGACAACGTAGTACTCCTTTCAAAAACAGGAATTACATATAGAGAAAAGCACAGCTTTGGACACCATTCCTACAACGTAATCCTACAAACACAAGTATATAATTATAGAAAGGGTACTCGCGCGAAATATTGCCAACAGAGCGAGCGGAGCGATAATTGGCGAGCGGGAGCGAGCCAACCTGGTCGTTCTCTCGTCGTACGTCGTGTAAGTGCGCATGCGCAGCTTTGTACGCACGGTGCCGATATGCGCCGATCGATCTAGCCAGCGAGAGAACTCTCCTCCATTCGATGGAATGCGCTGGAGCCTTCGGTGACTGACCGAAGCTGTACCTCTTCCCAATCTTCATGGTTCCAAGATGCAACTTGCAAATACGCTAGGATTGCTCCTGCAGATATTGCTGCATGCCAGCTGCCTGGAGACCACGACCGAGCTGAAAGCCTAAGGTAAGTACCGTTCTGCTCACCTGCTCACCGTTCTGCCAATGTATGTAACGGCGACAGATAGATCTGTCTTGCTTCACGAAAAGAAAGTTGTGCGCTGACGGCACCCCGAACATCGCGCTAAGTTGGGTCGCTCCCGCTCGCCAACAATGTTCAACGTTTCCACTAGTTATAAGAGCCATCCTGGCCTATTTTATATGGAGCGCCGTTTCCGCCAAAAGTAAAGGCTCTCTGCCTGCTAAAAATCGATCTCTAAATCATTCTTTTACTCGATTTTTGGGGGAAAATCGTTCTCTAAATCCATTCAGTGCATAGCATGTTTAAATTGAGCAATCTTATTAGTTCACACGAGGTACTTGATTTCCCGTATATAGTATACCTAGGACGCTTCGTAGTAAACCTTGTCTCAATGACAAGATCACGTACATCATCTACAGAAATATGAAGCTTTATCGTCTACAATAATTCTTTTTAGTTTCACAGAGAGACAACGGACAAGAAGTCTGGGACTAGCTCTACGCAAGCGCCTGTACGCTAGCGCTAGCGGTACGTCACGCCCGCTGATACGTGCGCATAGAGTGGGCGGAGCCCTTTTCCGTGAAACTTGGCGGACGACTAACGAGTGCTGTAGCTTCCGCCTACCGTTTCTGGCTCGCCGCTGGTGGCTGAAACCTCGCTCGAGTCTGTTACATTTGGAAAATAAATGGTAGCCGAGACTGCTTCAATGGAATTTGCTGTAAACCTCTGTATATTGGAGGGATTCATTCGGCTAGGGACACACATCAGAACTCCAGCTTTGTTCTCACACGTAATTCTATCACATCTGATATCCACCTGGTCATCTAGTAACAAAGGGGAAGCTGAGATGCATTCAACCAAAGTCTCACAAAAGCGCAGTATGTTAGTTATATAGCGCATCTACGGTTGCTGTCAGCTCTAACGTCTTCCAATTTTGCAAGTATGGATTTCACATTCATCAAAGCTACGGTAACATGAGATGAACCATACGACATGTCAGGGAGTGGTTGCAGTAGGTTGGTACTTAGCCTAACCATTTCGTTTTCAAAATCCAATGCTTTTTTAATTGTTTTTCCTTTGAAATTGAATATTGATTGACCTTTGTTAACCAGATGGGAATGCTACCATTTTCATGAAAGGTATATACAGGTAAGGAAATCGATCTCATTTCCAGTGTATTTAGGCCAGCAAGTTCAGGTGGTATATCACACAACCGTTAACCATTAGCCTTTCCTTGTAGTGGCATCAATGCTCTATCACAGGTCTTACATATCCACACTTTACCATCGTTGCTAATGTAACTGAGGTCAGCACTGCAACACTTGCAAGCAAATCAGGACTAGTTTGGATTTGTTACACGGAACTACACTTTTTCTGTACATCATACGGTGGCAACATGTACGTACAAACTCTGGCCCAGATTTAGTTTCAGAATGGAATACAGAAATGGCTTGCTCTACTGACAAACACCTACTTCGCTTGCTTGACGCATGATCTCTATCAGTTTGTTTTCGTTGTAACTTTTGACAAACGTGTTTCAGGGGCTCTGATGCTCGCCTTGTGTGCTTTGTTTAGTTCTCGCCTGTTCAACGTTTGCTCAGGTGTTTCAGAAGCTCTGATGCTCGCCATGTGTGCTTTATCTTGTTCATGCCTGTTCAACGTTTGCTCAGGTGTTTCAGAAGCTCTGATGCTCGCCATGTGTGCTTTGTTTAGTTCTCGCCTGTTCAACGTTTGCTCAGGTGTTTCAGAAGCTCTTGTTTAGTTCTTGCCTGTTCAACGTTTGCTCAGGTGTTTCAGAAGCTCTTGTTTAGTTCTTGCCTGTTCAACGTTTGCTCAAGTGTTTCAGAAGCTCTGATGCTCGCCATGTGTGCTTTATCTTGTTCATGCCTGTTCAACGTTTGCTCAGGTGTTTCAGAAGCTCTGATGCTCGCCATGTGTGGTTGTCACAAACCAACTACTCTAACTCTTGCTGAGTATGCGCACCTACGGTTAATAATCCGAGGGTTAATAGATTGGTGTGGGTAGGTTTATGTTAAACACTGGTTGTGATTATTCCATCAGGGTTATGCCTCAGGGGAAAGGTAGAACATGATCTTGCTCTACTTCGCAGGTGAACTGAATGGACGGCTCTGTATATACAAGTGGAAAAATCATTTCTTCATAATGAAAAGGGGATATAGGGATGGCTTGAAGCACCAAAAAGGAAGAAATAAAGGGTCATTACACAGCAAAGATGCACAAAGCTACATGACACCGTCCCTATATCTTTGTGTCATATTAAACTTTGCTTATGACCAATAAAACAAAGATATAGGGATGGTGTCATGTAGCTTTGTGCATCTTTGCTGTGTAATGGCCCCTTGTTTCTTCCTTTTTTGGTGCTTCAAGCCATCCCTATATCCCCCTTTCATTTTGAAGAAATGATTTCCCCACTTGTTTCCACTATTTTTAACAGGCTTATGACATCACTGCATTTTTAGTCACTCTGATGTTCATGGGTATGTTGTAGAGTACTTATGCAGTACATAGCTAATGGGGTGCGGTACCAGAAGCAGGGTGTAAGCGTATACGTAGTGTCTCCAACAAGGACGCAATTAGGTTGTGGCTCATGGTGGCGGTTTCATGGGCAGGCTTCAGAAATCTGACTACAATGATAGCTATAACCTGAGTGACAAAGAACGAAGGTTCATTTGTATGCCCGGCAAGGCTCGCGTAACACCGCGCAGACTGCTAAGTTGCTCCTCGTGCAAATCAACAGAAAAACGCAAGCTAGCCAGTTAGAAATGTGTAGTGACTTACAGAAGGCACTGGATGATGTTCCTCTGCGCATGCGGCTCACTGATTCTGAGTTAGCAGCAAATGGCGTTGTTCAGTGACTACTGAGGAAGAGCTCAAACATCTACCGTAGTGCCTTGCGACAAGAAAGAAACGATCCCTTGATATCCGTGCACACATACGGCGAAATTGGAGACGTTCTGTGAAAAAATCAACGCTTCGACTGCTTCCGGTAAGGAGATAGCGGGTCTGAAGTATGATTACGATGACACGAATTCGCGTAAGTGCCACTTCTCTCGTGGGGAACTGAGGGCACGTAGAAAGTCTTGGGGCATATGTATAGCTAGCTAGGTAGACTATTGCTAGTGATTTGGAAGCCATAGTGAGTCATTCTCGCCGAGTTTTGAGGTGTTTTGTACGCGGATCACGTGAGATTTTACTCGCGTCATCCTTATATACCGACGCTCCGATATAGCAATCGTGAACCTGGTAATGGAGCACGTCGAAGAGCTAGTCATGTCTTTTTTTCCCATTGTCTTCTTGTTTGCTTTGTTTTTTTATTTAGCCATAATTTTGCTTTTTTCACATTTTTATCTTAGTCACCTGCCCCCCTGTTTCCGTATTGTCACTCATCTACGTATAGGTTAGACGTTGAGCCGCGGGAACTACGCGATTTAGTGAGCCGAGGAGCCCTGAGCTGTCGGCGTACCGAGCGCAGCGAGGGCGCTACTAAGGGCTCGGAGGCTCACTAAATCACGTAAGGCTACGCGTCTAACCGGCTTACTCATGCTGCCTCTTGCAGAGCGGTGGGGGTCTCCTTCATCCCCCTCGCTGTTGAGTTACTTGGGGGATGGAGTGATGTGGCTGTCAAGACCATCAGCCGTAATGGACGCCTTTTGGGCCAAAGACTTGGCATCCCCCCCTCTATCAGCTGTTCCAGAGGTGCTCCGTGTCGCTGTAGAGAGGGAATGCTGCCCTGTGGCTGCACCGTTTCCTTCCTATCTCCTCCTTCATTGACAGTGTTATTTGACTTTCTCAAACTTGTATTTTGTTTTTTTGTGTTGTTTTTTAGTTTGTTCTTTCTGTTTTGTTATTGTGTTTTTTTTGTTTTTTTTGTTTTTCTAGCTAAACATGTTTTTTGTTTGTTTGTTCTGCTTAGACTACAGCACAAGTCCGTCCCGCTGCAGTGTCCGTTATAGGCGTTGCTGCCCTTCGGGATCGCGCCGGCCGGCCGTTTGTTCCCTGTACTCTTTCTCTAGCGTCTTCTTAGCTCTCTAGTAGTTATGCGCTGCTACTAGAAGAGCCTGTTCCTGGTTTCTTCGTGGGAAGAATCGCTCCAGAAGCTCGGTTCACCGTCCGCGCGCGTGGCGTCTTTTCGAGTGGTTGCCGGGGCTACCGCGGAAGAGGTCACTAACAAAATTAGTCACCGCTAAACTCGCAATTTGAATGGTCAATTGCGTGTTACCGTAGTCGTGACCGTGCACGCAAAAACCAACCTTACGCCGCATTTTTGGGAAGTAGCTTTTTTTGTTTCGTTGTAAAGCTTGAAATGTGCTTGATACAGCGCTTATTTTGTATATTATCGAGAAAACCCTTTAAAAGTTACGATTTTTCAAACGCGAGCACGCGGGGTATACAAAACGCGAATGAAATTTTTCCGTATCTTGTCCGCGTACGAATATGACGTCACGTTACGGGATTTTTCCCGGAAATTTTAGCCAACCAGTGTGAGAGTGCAGTTTGACAGCAGACGAACGCTTCTATACGGCCCTA